CGTTGCACACACCACTAGGCGTGTCTTGTCTCTGTCTGTGTCCATGAAGTGAAAAAGTATTTATTTGCATGTTTTACAGTGATGTTTTTACATTTTATCTAGTTTCTCCCTCCCCCCACCAATTGTATGATATATTTAGACCGCAGGTACAGTACTCTTCATTCATACAATTGTAAATTTAAGTTTATATTTCTCTGTTTAATTAAATTTAATTTATAATCTAATCTAATCTAATCTAATTTAATCAAATTTAATTTATCTACTTTTGATGCCTATGGTAACCTAATTCTAATCATAGTTCTGATTCAATACTGACATCATTGCATTGTTGCAATTATCAAATGCAACCCCTGTTACCGTTGTCGTGTCTTCATTATTTAAAAAAAAGCCCTCAATTTGTCCCCTTCACCCCCCCTCCCCCCTGGAATTTTATTATATATATAAAGACCTCTATAAACACGTCTTAGCATTTTCATAGATATACCATCCATATCTTGATCCTTGTCAATTACATAATACACTCTCTTATCCATTCACATCACACCCCTCCCACTTCCCCTTCCCCTTCCATATCCTCCTCTTTACAATATGTCAAAACCTGGCAATATCGAGCTATACACTTCGAAATTTTATGCCACTTGCACTCTAGGTGGTATCGTTGCTTGTGGACCTACCCATTCAAGTGTCACTCCTTTAGATTTAGTCAAATGTAGGCTACAAGTAAACCCAGATTTATACACTTCCAACTTACAAGGTTGGAAACAGATAATAAAAACAGAAGGTGGTGTTTCAAAAATTTTCACAGGTGTTGGTGCCACTTTCATCGGTTACTCTTTACAAGGTGCTGGTAAATACGGTGGTTATGAATTCTTTAAACATTACTACTCACATACCGGGTTGTTCTCTCAAGAAACTGTCAATAAACACAAAACTTTGGTTTATTTAGCCGCTTCTGCTACTGCTGAATTCATCGCTGACATCTTCTTATGTCCTTTCGAGGCTATCAAGGTTAGACAACAAACCACTCTACCTCCTGCATACAAAAACGTCTTCGAAGGTTTATCAAAAGTTTACGCTAACGAAGGCTTAACCGGATTCTATAAAGGTATCACCCCATTATGGTGTAGGCAAATACCTTACACTATGTGTAAGTTCACCTCTTTTGAAAAAATAGTCGAAGGTATTTATCACAGATTACCTGTCAAGAAGTCCGAAATGAATGCATTGCAACAGATTTCAGTAAGTTTTGCCGGTGGTTATTTAGCTGGTATATTATGTGCTATCGTTTCTCATCCTGCTGACGTCATGGTCTCAAAGGTTAACGTCGATAGAAAACCTAATGAGTCAATGGGTGCTGCAACTTCAAGAATCTATAAACAAATTGGCTTCAATGGTTTATGGAATGGGTTGCCTCTTAGAATCGTGATGATCGGTACCCTAACAAGTTTCCAATGGTTAATTTATGATTCCTTTAAAGCTTATGTTGGTTTGCCAACAAGTGGTTAGATAGAAACTTAGGACTCTTTCATCTCCCAAAAGACATAAAAATAAAAATAAAAAATTGAACTTGTATCTATAATAATATCACTTATAAATAAATATTCAGATTTAATAGAATTTTTTTAGACGCTCAAATATTTAATACTTACAGTTTTCTTTCATGAATCATTTTATAGCCGTTTCAACTAAGTTATTAATTCTTTATCGTGCAATTGATGCTTTAGAAATATAGATCAGTATACATCTACATATATATATATATATATGTATCTATTTAATTCTATGTATTTTATGTGTTAAATGGATTGAATGATTCATTGTCTTTAATTACTCCAGACATTCTTTATCAACTCATCATCCTCAATGTTATATGTAGAGGTGGATCTGCTCTGATGCATATTCATATTAAAGTTCATGCCACTATTCGTTTTATTCATGTTAAGGTTGTTATTATTAATAGATGTTGTTGATGCTAATGAAATTGAAGATGATGTCATGCTATTACCTGCAAAAAAAGAATTTTGTGATGGGGTTTTGTTTGTAGCAGCTGGTTTTGAATACAAAGATAAAATAGATTTCTTCAAATCTGGTCTTTGAGAAACACTGATGTTACTAGCAGCTGGGGTATTAGTTGGCCTACCTGGACCATCGATGTTTTCCCTTGATGACAAAAACTGCAAATCTAATAAACTGCTACTTTTGCTTACGCTTTCCTTTTTTGCCTGGCCAATTGTAGAAATGCTACTTACGTCACTTGCGTCATCGATCAAAGAACCACTGGACGGACTATCTAAACGGTTGTTTGCATTGTTACTATTGTTACTATTTACACTTGAAACACTAACGTTAGTCTCTGTTGGTACCAAATTTGTGTTATCGCCCATCCATTTTTTAAATTCATATTTATTCTTGATAAAAGTTTGTAATTTCCCCATATCGTTTAATGGACCTTTCATGGTGTCTGGTAATTTAGCTTCATACAATGCATTTGCGTTATTGTTGTTTTTCATTTTGACTAACATAACAACATGTTCTTCTTTCCAGGTATCTAGATCAACAGATTTGACCTTAGAAATATGAGTACCCAAGGATCTGTGAACACCAGCACATTTAATACAAACAAAAACACCTAAAGACCAGGATGCCCATCTTGGATGAGATTGTGCTTTACAATCGGCACAATTGGCATTACCTGGATCCCTTAACAATGCTGAAAGGGCACGTTTAACTTGTGGAGAAGTAGACATCTATTCTATTATAATAACAGTAAAACAACGAACCAAAAAAAGCAAAAAAAAATGTATGCGAATTGAACTGAAAGTAAAATAAGAAATAGAATGAAGAATAAGCACTACAAAAAGAATTAGGCTTCCTTCCTTCGACTGATGATCTGATTTACTACCTATTCAACTTCTTATATCCAATAGATCAAAAACAAAAGTCAGTTAAATTTTTAATCGTTTTTACCTCTCTTTTAATCGAAAAAAGACCAAAACTTCACCTTATTTCTATCAACCTTCCAGAACTGAAACTAAGAACTACTGAAATAGAACAAAATAAACTCAAAGTGGAGCCCATAAGATCAATTATATGTAATCAAATCAACTGGCTATTCCTTCTTATGACCTGTTCAATAATGAATGGTATCCTGTTTCGAAAGCTTCAAAAATTCGTTCAGAGGTAATCGCGAGACGACAGAAATTATCATGAATGACGTAAAATGCTCTAGGATAGAATTTTATTTGAATAAACTCAAGAATTTTACATTCTCGAAAGGTTTTGAAAGTAAAAAAGATTGATATAAAGGATTTCCTCGAGAAATTAAGTCTGAAATAATATTGTCTAATAGATTTTAGTTTTTTCACATCGAAAATACCATTTGTTTTACAAATATTACACTTTTTAACTTGAACGATAAGTTTCTCCGAAATTTTACGATCATATCCTGATTACACTATTATTTTCAAATATTAACCATTTTATTATTGCTAGATAGCCACAATTGTAAGCTATCTGATGGCATATTTAAGTTCATCAGAATTGACTATATAACTTTTCTTATTCTTCATCTTATTCTATTATTTGTTTCTTTTTTCTAACTGTCTTGCCATCTTCATCTTCCAATTATTCCGATGAGTCAGCGGGATAAAAATGTGAAAAATTATCGAATTTCTAGACTTTTTATATAAGAAGACATACATTTACACACTATTAAAATAGAACTATTTATATTTTTTTTTGGAATTATTGTTCTGATCTATACATATAGCTATATATATCCCAGTGCTACTTTTAATAAAGTTTAGTCTGTCATTGCTGGAGTTTGGTTCCATCGAAGCACCGTTCGTTTTTCAATCAAAAAGTTTGATTGAATAAGAAGTATATTAACTTTAATAATTTTAAAGGTTTAGTTTTATTGTCTATTGGTTTGGTATATTCTCATATAGAAGTTTTTCACTGAGTGTAGATTATAATAACTAAATATATTATGTTTTCAGACAGTAATGCAACCACTAACTGGGTTGTCCAGAAATATGGTGGTACCTCTGTCGGTAAATTTCCATTTCAAATAGTTGACGAAATTATTAAAGTATACTCATGTCCTCAGGGGTTAGACAAAAATGTAGCAGTTGTTTGTTCAGCTCGTTCATCTTATACTAAGGCTGAGGGTACTACTTCACGTCTATTAAAATGTTGTGATTTGGCATCGCAAGAACAGGATTTCTCAGATATTATTGAAGTTATTAGACAAGACCATATCAGTAATGCAGAAAATTTAATTACTGATCCTGTATTGCAGACTAAATTGGTTACTGATACTAATAAGGAATTAGATTCCGTTGTGAAGTATTTAGAAGCTTCTAAAATTTTAGGTGAAGTCTCCACACGTACTATGGATTTGGTTATGTCATGTGGTGAAAAATTAAGTTGTCTATTTATGGCTTCTTTATGTAATGACCGTGGTTGTAAAGCAAAATACGTGGATTTGTCACAAATTGTTCCCTCTGATTATCAAACTACAAATTTAGATAATTCTTTTTACACTTTCCTAGTGAAAGCTTTAAGAGAAAAAATGTTGCCATTTGTTGAGTCTAAAGAACGTATTGTTCCTGTCATTACTGGTTTCTTTGGTTTAGTACCAACTGGTCTATTAAACGGTGTCGGTCGTGGTTATACTGATTTATGTGCTGCCTTGATAGCCGTTGCATTAAACTCAGATGAATTACAAGTCTGGAAAGAAGTAGATGGTATCTTTACAGCTGATCCACGGAAAGTTCCTCAAGCAAGGTTACTAACAAGTGTCACGCCAGAAGAAGCTTCAGAATTGACTTATTACGGTTCTGAAGTCATCCATCCTTTCACAATGGAACAAGTCATAAGAGCTAAGATTCCAATTAGAATTAAAAATGTTCAAAATCCAAAGGGTGATGGTACTATTATCTATCCTGATAATCTTGCTAAAAGAGGTGAATCTACTCCTCCACATCCACCTGAGGCTTTGTCTTCCTCATTCTTCGAAAAAAAGAGAAGAGGTGCCACTGCAATCACTACTAAGCATGATATTGTTGTCGTTAACATTCACTCTAATAAGAAAACTTTATCTCACGGTTTCTTAGCAGAAATTTTCACCATCCTAGATAAATATAAATTGGTAGTAGATTTAATTTCTACTTCAGAAGTTCATGTTTCAATGGCTTTACCTATCCCAGATGCTGACTCTCTAAAATCATTGAGATTAGCTTCTGAAAAGTTAAAAAGTTTAGGTACTGTCGATATCATCAAGAAGATGGCAATTGTATCATTAGTTGGTAAACAAATGAAACAATTCATTGGTATTGCTGGTGCCATGTTCACTACTTTGGCTGAACAGGGCATTAACATTGAAATGATTTCTCAAGGTGCCAATGAAATTAATATTTCTTGTGTCATTGATGAGTCTGATGCTTTGAAAGCATTAAGATCTATCCATGGTAAACTTTTAGACATTGAATTATCCGAGACCTCATTTGAAATAGCGGTCGATGAGAGACTAGAACAAATTAAGAGATTAGCATTATAATCCAATAAAGAATTGCCTCCATAATTTTAAAAATCCAATTAACTTTTTCTAAAGTTTCCAAGATATATATCTGTATAAAGATTTATATTAATATAATCGTAATAATAATAGTGATAGTAATTGTAGTAATTGATGAATTGAATTTAATATTTAACCATATATAAAAATGAACATCATAATATCGTTAAAATCTAAAAGACAAAGACTTGATCATTCATCTTAGAGACTGGTTTGGCCTTTGGAAAGCCTAATGCAACAGCGGACCTTTTAATCGCAGAAACCATTGGTAATGGACCACATACTAACAACTGAACACCGTCAGCTGGAGCAGGCAACTTTTCCTTCATTAATTCAGGAGTGACGTAACCAGAACCACCTTTCCAGTTTTCACTTGGCTTGTCTAATAAGTAATGGATTGTAATTTGGCCAGGCTTCGAAGCAGCAAATTTATCCAAATCATCTCTTAACAAGATGTCAATTTCTTCAACATTACCATAGATGAAGGTAACTTTGGTTTTGTCTTTTGGGTTTTCAGCAATAGATTTGATAATTTGATACATTGGGGTCAAACCAGAACCACCAGCAATCATAGCTAGATGCTTGGAAGATCTATCAGTGTATTCATAGAAACCTTTTGGACCTTGTACATCAATAGTGTCACCAATCTTCAATGAAGTAAACATCTTAGAGATCTTACCTTGTTCATAAGATTTAATTAATAATTCAAAATAACCTTTAGCTTCAGAATCCAAGGAAATTGGTGTATATGATCTAACCACTTCACTACCATCGATGTGAGCTTTAATAGTGATGTGTTGACCAATTGGTAAACCTAAAACGTGTTCATCAGTTGGTAACTTGAATCTATAAATAGCAGAGTTACGGTTCAATTTCTTAATGGAAACTAATGGGAATTGCATGTACTCACCTTTAACTAAAACTGGAAGAGCCTTAGATTTAGGTTCTTCACTAGTGAACATCTTAGTTGCAGCAGCAGCAACTGCAATTGCTATTATAGCAATAAAAATTTTATTCATAGATTCGGCCATTACTTGTTGGATCGATGTAGTACCTTAGTATAGGTAGTTTTAACTATTGATATGTTAATAAATCAATTAAATCAGTGAAAAATAATTTAAACTTTTAAATTAATATTAATAGATCCATTCTTTACCCCTTAAATCAATCACAAACACAAGTTAAATCTTTAGCTTCATTGTTCATCGTTTGGTTCTCATCTCGAAATTATGTTGCAGAATTGAAAAATTCTTGGATGCATCGAATAAAATAAAAAATGTGTCGATTGATAAAGTCATGATATTGATCATTGTTTACGAATTAACTAATGACAGTAATTCATTAACTAGTAATCTTTTAGATGGGAATCTATAAGATTTATACTTTACCGATGAGTTCTTCAGATGGTTAGTTAACGATTTAATTGTTTCTTTATCAATAGAACTCTTTGTTTTGTCTGTATTTTCGTCATCAAGCAACCACTCGCCAGTCTTGCACATCACAAGATCGAATTTTGGGAAAGTGAACCTTTTGGGTACCTTAGTTATTCTTTCGATATCCACAATCTTCAATTGTGTTGCAATGTCTCTAGCAGTCAGGAAGTTTCCTCCTATGACAAGAGAATCCTTCGGCGTGTATACGACATGAATGTAACCGCAAGGGATCATAAACAAATCTCCAGCTTCTAACTGCATAGCGATACCATCTTCCAATTGATCACCTAAGAATACTTCACTTTGTTCATACATAGAACACCAATTAACATATTTTTGTAAGTTTGATTCAGTAGGTGGAAATAAAATAAATTGTTTTTGGCCAGAGATGACTCTATAATAGACTGAAGTTCCTGCAAAATCTAGATGGAAGTCTGTATATGCGTTTCCTACAGACATCAAAACATATTTTTTGACTTTAGGTTCTGGGCCATCTAGCTGAAGATCTCCGTACTTATTCCAAACTTTATCAACCAAATCATTTTCATTAACAGCTCTAGGCCTTTCAATTGGAAAATTCTTCACATGAGAGACTTCAAGCGATATTACATTTTTCAACCTCTCTCTATCTTCAGGTAACGTATCACTAAAGTATCTATTCCACTTTCCTAAAGTCCATTTTTCATTTTGTTGATTTAAGACATCCATTACGTTAACGTCAGAATCTGCGCCGACTGAATATGTAACATCACGAACGGTCAATTCTACATCTTTATCCGATCCTATGGGTAATGGTAATTCCATTCCTGAAAGTTCGGGATCTGTTATTTTAAAAGGTTCTTTAATTGAATTAAAATCACTTTCAAATTTTTTAGAATCGATAATATTTTTTGTATTTTCCCATTTTTTAAAACATTTTTGGAAGTTTGCTAAATGAGGATGTACATTTTTCAATTTCTTCTGTTCCCCTTCATTCAAAGAAATATAATCAATTTTCTTTCCTCTTCTCAAATTATATTTCTTAGAATTATTATCATTATCTCCATGAGGGTCACTAGAAATTTGATCAATGTTTCTTTTCTCACCTCTACTCTTCAATATTAACCGTTCATTGGACCCATGGGCATCACAAATAAATTTATTAATATCTTTATCAGAATTTGGATATACTCTCGCACTGACAGCAGTATCATTATCAAGATATATGCAATTCAATGGGATGCATAAAACATGAACCCATTGAGGACACAATTCACATTGTACCCACAGATTTTTATCAGAATCATCAACCTGACAAAACTTACAAATATCAGTATTTATGACAACCATTAATAATAAAATCTCACAAGTTTCCTAATAGTATTACTATATCTCCTTAACAAAGCTATCGTTTCTATAGATACTCCACCCCTCATATAAAATAAGACCCTTAATTTCACAATATTTCCACCAAAAGAAACACAATCTTTGTCAAAGCAAGACCAATATGACAACTTGAATCAAAAGTTTCAAACCAACCAACTAATGAATACACAATGGCCAACTACAGACCATCATAACCTTCGAACTTAACAATGTATCATTAGATCAAGCTTTCGAATCCAAATTGCATTTTTTCAAAGCCTTCAATGAAATTGATGAAATTTCCTAAAGGAGAATTCGGTAATGGAACAGGTAATATCAAAATTTGAAAAATATTGAGATTATGATGAAGTTTTAAGATATTTTAACAAGGAGAAATTAATTAAATGTTGATGAAATGATTGAATTTGATTATTAATTCTGTTATCTATTGGTGATTGTATTTAGAGGAAGTGTGAGTGTGAGTTTACTATAGGTTACGATGTCCTTCAATTCTTTTACAAATTCTTTGTCACAAAAGTTTCAAGAACTTTCTACTGCTGTTTCAGAAAAGACCCAAGAATTTTCCACTTCTATTCCTACATTGGCAGAATCTACTCAACGTTTGGTTCAAGAGAAGTTGGGTAATGTTACTGATATTTCTCAGTTGCCTCAAGAATATATAGAATTGGAACGTCAAGTTGATACTATTAAGTTAGTCTACGAACATTTCTTACAGATCACTGCAATTTATGAAAATGAATCTTATGATTATCCAAAATATGTAAGTGATTCCGTTAATGATTTTTCTAAAGTATTTGCCAACAAGGTTACCGAGTTATCTCATGCAACTTCTGCTCAAGAAGCCCAAAATATTTTAGTTACTCCAGGTCCTGCAAAGGAACCAAGAACATTAAACTATGCTTTGAGTAAAGTTGCTCTAAACTCAAGTGAAAGTTTAGCTCAATTAGCTGATCCAAATGAAGGTCCTGTTGCAGATGCTTTGTTGAAGTTTAGTGATGTTCAAGCTAAAATTGCCCAAACCAGATTGCACCAAGATACTTTAATCCAAACTAAATTTAACAAACAATTGAGAGAAAAGTTAGAACTTGATATCGGAAAGGCTTCTAAAGCCCGTAAAGATGTTCAATACAAAAGATTGCAATATGATGTTGCTAGAAGTAAATTGACTCAAGCTAAGCCAGAAAAGGAAGCTTCTTTAAGAGTTGAAATGGAATCTTTAGAAGAACAATTCGCTCAATCTACCGAAGATGCTACTATCATTATGCAAGAAGTTATTGCTGACTCTAAATTCTTATCTAGCTTAAAGGAATTGGCTGAAGCACAATTGAGCTATTTCGAAACTTCTGCCCAATTATTAAAGGAATTCATGCCAGTCTTGGATTCTGAAAGTTCTGCTACTACTAATACCAAATAATGGAAGTGAATAGTTCTGCTCTTCAATAAGAAATAGGATTTACTCTTATCATGTTCTATATCAATCCAGTTTCCATATTTCAGTAGCTGTTTATACATAAGGATGTATGGAGCATTTTTTTTAATTAATATCAGTATTTTTGTATTCGTTTCATATAATCTTTTTGAAATAATCTTAATTAATATATGTCGAAATTTATTTCAACTTCTGATTTCTCTACTTTTGTTCACTTTATCTATTTTTTTATTAAAAAGTTTATTTTCTACAACCTAAATAATTCTGTATAAATCTGTATTCATTAAACACGATATCTATTCTTCGTCACTTTCATCAGCGTCCATGGATTTAATATCCCATTGTAATTTCAAGTCCCATCTACTAGATTCAGCACTCATGTTAATATACTTGACGAATTCTAAAACACTTTGATCTCTTAATACCAAAACCAAAGAATTCCAAGTAGCTGGTCTCTGTAACAAAACTGAATCACCAGTATCATCTGTACGGTAAACAGTAGCATCTTCAACATCTCTCTCTAATTGGGTATCTTCTCTTTCAACATCACCTTCATCGGCCATATATAATTCATAACCACCGACTTCACCAGATTCCCAACCACCAGTTGGTGTCAGACATAGAGTACCTTCTAAGATTGCATCAACAAAACCCTCGACATTCTTTAAGATTTCGCTTAAATGACATTGTGTAGCCAAAGTAAAATCGTTACCTGGTCTGAATCTTCTGATAATAATCTTTTCACTCAATGGGCATAATAAAGTCAAATTGGCAATATATTTCTTAAAAACAGTACTTTTAAAGAATTGAGCTAATTCAACTAAGGCAATTTCTGCTTCATTTTCCTTTCTAGTTTTTTCATCTTTGATTAAAGTCTCCTTTAACCATTTAAAGTTAGCAGACTCTTCATAAGTTAAATTTTCAATCATATCTTCTTCAGTGCTGAATTTTTCATGTGGTTTACCATCAATATACAAGTATCTCCACTTGTGTGATGGAGTAGCAGTTTTCCACGGAGCTTCAACATTCTTAGCTTCCATTGGGCATTCTTTTTCCAATTCAACATGTTTGATCAACTTCTTTAACAAATCAGCCTTTGGATCGTTTAAGAAAGATTCAATTTCTAAGAAAGAGTTTTCAATAAATTTCGATTGCAAACTAGCTAGACCTTCTTTTGTCAAATATTCTGGAGAAATATATTGAGCCAAAAATTCAATTTCTCTTTCAGTCAATTTCAAAGCATTTACTAATTCGCTTTCTAACTCACTCTCATCAGTAGTCAATAAATTTTCATAGTGCTTTACTTGATGGAATGGTAAAATATCTCTTTCAGCATTTGGGAATTCAAAGTCTTGCAAAGTCTTGGATTCTAATTGAGCCAAAGTAGAGATGTTTTGGCTAATCCAAGCTTCTTCTTCGCCTGGAACATAACCTTCTTCACCTTCTTGTGGGATATGGTACCAACCTTGAATTGATAATCTATGCTTATCGACTCGTACTTCTTCTACATCGTGGAATGAGAAACCTGGTTGAACCTTGAAAAAGGCAATTTGATTGAATTGTGGAACTAACTTAGCAGATGGATCAGAGTATGGAATATTTTCCTTGATACTTGGAAATAATCTTAAACCCCCACCATAATGGGATTTCCATTTTCTGTCAGGTTCTGGTAAGTATAAAATGAAACTAATACGTCTGGAACCAATAACATCATCGTGAGTCAATAAATGGCATCCCTTAGTATAATGTTGCATACTCATATCAGTCTTTTTACCAGATAATTTACCAGATCCAGTAATATAAGCAAAAAAGTCTCTAAATTGTTGAGAATACATAATTTGACGCAATTTATATAAATTTGGCAATCTTGAAAGATCATTCCAATCTAAACCAGATAAATTGGCCAAATCACCACTTTGATTGATCTTATAAATATCAGTTTCTTTTCTAGTGAAATGAACTTCATTTTCGATTTCTTTACGAACTGAACGCAATAATTCGTCATCAACTAAATCAATAATGGTACCCCAATTATATGGCTGAGAATTAGCAATATCATTCTTCATTTGTTCACGGAATTCTGGATCCCAAATTTTTTGATTAAACAAAGATTTAACTTTGTCTTCTTCCAAAGCTAACTGTTTAGCATTTTGAATAACTGGAGTGTTTGGAGCCTTCCTCTTCATATTGTGGTGTTTGGGGATCTTTTACAACCTTTGAGGATCTAATTCAAATATACGATAAGAGGACTAGAAATAGTAATAAAATAGAATCACTTTGGGAAGGATATGTCAATGAGTTGATGAAGTTATTGCTAGTTTTATATGTTGCGATGAGAAAGTGAAAAATGTCAAAAATTGTATTGTTTCTTTTTCTTTTTCTTTTTTTCCTCTTTGAGAAATTGCTAAACGAAGAAATTGAACAAGAACGAAGTATATAAAGATATAGCGTTAACGAAGTCATTAAATAGATTTAATTCTGTTGCTGTCGTTTGATAAGTTCAAAGAAATCACAATACAACTCTTACTTATTTAACAATTCATCGCTGTGAAATTGAAACTTTAAAGGAGATTCAAAATCAAATAATTTAATACATTAATTGAGGATGATAATAGTTTGAGTAATTGAGTTAAATGAAATAATAACGATATATTACTAATTTATATATATATGCATATACAGGTACTTAATCAGTGGATTGAAAGGTACAGATGCTTTATGATGGGAATATAGGTAGTAGAATCAGAACGTTACCAAAAAGAAAATGGTCAATTTGAGGAAGTGGATGTAAAAATAATCTATACTATAGTAACTAGTTCTTGTTGTAATTATTTTTCTGCCACTGGTTCGACAACTAACTTGTCAAAGGTATACAACTGTGAAATGATGGATTGTCTTTTCAACACAGCCAAATCAAATTGCGCATCTCTATAAACTTTAGCTAGTTCCACTGGATCTTGTATCTTCGAATTAGCTCTAAAACTTTCTCTGGACCTCCTTAGAAAGTATTCTTTGAAATTGTAATTATTAAATTGGTTTGCATTTTTAATAAATTGCTTATACAAATTAAGAACTTGACCTCTACTTGGTGCTGCACTCATTGTTGGATATGGAGTATCTATGTATATGTATATGTATACTTTTTAAAATCAGAATGAATAGCTACTTAACCACTCAGTTTAGACACTATTTGCCGAATATTGCCTGTAGTTCCCTTTTGTCAATAACAATCCAAACTTTTACAATACTGTTAAATAGCTGATTAATAAATCAATCATGTTCAAATGCGTCAAAATTGGTGGTTCTTAATTATGAGAACGAATGAAGGTATTCGTATAAACGTATGTAGCGTAGTAGTGATATACGTTTATCACACCAGAATATTGCAAATATAAGTGTCAGGGCATAAAAGATAGCAGAGTGAGTATGAGAAGGTAAACAAATATTATACTAGTGTTCTCTAATTCTTTATATTTGGAAATCAAAATGTATTTTGAACCTTTTATATCAATTGAATCTTGAATTTAATTTCATGTAATGAAATTTAAATTCAAGTTGGAAAATAGCAGTTGCTTTTTGACTTCTAAAGGGATTTTGGGATTTAGTATATTTGGAAGAGGGTGGCTAATGAGTCGAAGATAAAAAAAAAAAGGGACCCCATGAGCAACTGTCATGTCTCTGAACATGATCACAAATTTAATTCAAGATTTTGATAGTAGTCAAAAAATAGGTCCTACCCGGATTCGAACCGGGGTTGTCCGGATCAAAACCGAAAGTGATAACCACTACACTATAGGACCATTAAACAACATGCTTTATATGATTGAGATCCACTGTAATGCTCTAAACCTTCTCCTTCAAAAGATTTGTTAAATTATCGCATATTCTAGGTATCATTGTAATGATATTTGTTTCAAAAGTGTAGTTCAGCTGCCCTTGCTTAAAGCATAACAACAATTATTCGTATTCTCAAGTTTTGCCAAAGGATTCTTTATTTTCAAGAAAATGCTAGTTTCAAATTATTAAAAAGGAACAATATCTTATCTTCATTAGATTAGACGTGTCAACAACACTTCGATACAGATGGATAACAATCAAGAGTAAAGTTGACTAAAATTTTGCTTATATCCGAAAATTCCAAACATAATTCAACTTCAACAATTGTTTATTATCATATCAAATTCAGGAATATCAGGAATATTATAAAAGATCGTACAAAAAGGTGAATTCCTCAAGACCTCAAAATAACCCTAGCGACGTACACATTTAAGCTTAACTCTTGTACCGTATCATTGTTCTTGTCGTACAAACCAGAATTGGATATCTAAAAACTGGGTAGCATCAGTTTAAGCATTAACTCCTTAATAAGAAACTAAATCCGAATTACTTGTCCTCGTTGATAAACTAAGCAGTTCATGATAATTATCGAAGAATGACTACTTTTATAGTAATAATTAATAATTTTCTCTTGGCAGGTACATAATAGGTAAGAAATGGAATGCGGAACTAGTAGAAGCAAAATGAGTAGAAGGCATGATTACTTATGTGTCAAAAAATTGATTGAGGACTCATCAGTGTAACATCAAGGGGAAAAGAAGAACCCAATGACAATTTTAAGTTAGATAGATGTACATTCAAATCACCATTTAATATATTAATAAGTGGATCGATATTTGCGATTTGGGTGATATTGAGAAAGGAGTTACTGAAAAAACGTTGAGTACCTTGAATGAAAGCATATATTCATTACATTTAATTCCTTCCGAATCCTCCATAGATAATAATATCTATACATTTCAAGCTAAAAAAAAAAAAACACGCATATACACATTTAAGTATAGTGTTCTGCATTTAAGAATAAATTAATCTATTAAAGTTTATTTCCTTCCTTTTCCCCCCTCCCTTTCCTCCCCCTTCAGACTAAACTTACTTTCCAACCCCCCCTGTTACAAATTTTCACTTTTATCTGATCTAAAAAACCTCATCAAATTAATCAACTGCCCCCCTCTCTCCCCCCTTCGTTCAACTAAAACTCAAGAACAAACCCAACAACTCATAAAAGTGAACATGAAGATTATAAATCAAAAACCACTAAATAATCTATAATGAACTAGTTAAATGACATACATTTTTCTCAATACATTATTAGTTCTTTTGCCTAATCCTTCCCACCCTGGAGTATATTCTATCTAGTAGATCCAGTTACAAAACTCTTACATGATGTGTTTTTACTAGAATTTTCAAAAACAATACCAAGTAGAGGACAAATTGTTTTGTTATTAATCAAACATCTTATTAAACGCAGCCTTCACCCTCTTAGAATCGAATTCTTATACTGTCGCCAGTCCAGCTTTCTTCTTATTACATAACCATGACCTTTAAGTCATTATCATGTTTTTCTTAAAAATATATAATTATATCCATATCACGTGACGTATCCTTTAAGGAACAAGATCCGGCTCTCCTTTTTGACCATTTCGATCAAGAACATGTAACTTATAAAAGAAGGAAGGTTTGAATTTGAATTGAATTTTAAAAGTGTTGTTTAAGCGAAGGATATCTTGATCTTATTTTAGTTTTATTTGATTATCTTAGTGTATTGATACTCTTGAAGTGGTGATACTAATTACCTATACAGAAAGAATATAAAAATTAAAAATTTAAAGATGGTTAAAGATACTCAATATTATGATATTTTAGGTGTTAAGCCTGAGGCTACACCAGCAGAAATTAAAAAAGCTTACCGTAGAAGAGCTATGGAGACACATCCGGATAAACATCCTGATGATCCAGAGGCTCAATCTAAATTTCAAGCGGTAGGTGAAGCTTATCAGGTTCTAAGTGATCCTGGTTTACGTTCCAGATATGACGAATTTGGTAAAGACGATGCTGTACCACAACATGGTTTCGAAGATGCCACTGAATTTTTCACTACAATTTTTGGTGGTGATGGTTTCAAAGACTGGATTGGTGAATTTTCATTATTCAAAGAATTGAATGAAGCCGTAGAAGGTTTTGATGAAAATGGACAACCTACCACTGGTGGACCAGGGGCAACCGATGATTCAAATATGGTTAAACATGATGGCAAGGCTAGTGCTGCTGACAGAAAGGGCAAATTGACCAAAGAACAGCGTGACAAATTGATGGAAATGGAACAAAAAAGACGGGAAGATATTGCTCGTCAAGTTAATGAATTATCTCTAAAATTGGATGCAAAATTGAAGAATTATTTATTAGCCTCAAGAGAAAAACATCTAGATGAATTTCAACTAAAATTAGATCAAGAAATCGAAGAATTGAAGTTAGAAAGTTTTGGTATGGAGTTATTGCATGTCCTTGCCAAAGTTTATAAAAATAAGGCTAATAATTTTATTATGTCCAAGAAGACACATGGGTTTTCAAAACTATTTACTGGACCTCGTGACAACGCAAGATCTGTCAAACAAACTTACAATTTGTTATCAACTGGTCTAGAGGCTCAAAAGACCATGGAACAAATGAGTGAAGTAAATCCTGAAGAATTAGATCAATACGAACGTGCTAAATTTGAATCAATGATGGCAGGTAAAGCTTTAGGTGTCATGTGGGCAATGTCAAAATTCGAATTAGAGAGGAAATTAAAAGAAGTCTGTAGCAGAATCTTAACAGACAGAAATGTACCATCAAAGGAACGTTTAGCTAAAGCCAAGGCAATGTTATACTTTGCTGACAAGTTTGAAAGAGCCAAGAGATCTCCAGAAGAAGCAGAAGAAGCAAGGGTATTTGAAGAAATGATCTTAGGTGAAAAGGCTAAGCATAGGAGATAATAACGGACATTATCATCCAAAATTAAAATTGTGTCATATGTATAATTATCAATAATAATAGTCGATGTAATGATCATCTATATCTAAAATGTACTTAATAATTAGTTTAATTGATGAATAGTTTTAAAACTTTTTGTGAAAATTTAAGTGTCAGTAAAATTGTTTTTAAAAATTAGTACTTAATGAAGAAGTTAAATAGATAATGTGTTACAAATGGGGTTACAAAGATAAATATAACATATTAAAGAATACTGAACAACTACCAATTTACTCAAGTTTTTAAAACTATAACATGAAAATTCTTAAATCATTCACTGTTTTATTCACCATCGTTGCTGTGGTATCCAATTTGTATATTTTTACCTACCCATCTTTTAATTCAACTCAATGCTCTTGGAGAGGGCAAATAGATGGTAACGATGTCAGAATTGAACAAGAAATGGATATTGTTCAAATATTAACCCTTCATATTAAAAGTTATCTCTCAGATCTTTTTAATTTAAATGAAAAGAAGAATTCTGCTTCTGAGTCAAAAGAAGTTCATATGTTGGCCTTTGGTGACCCACAGATTAGAGGACCATGGAAGAAAACTAACTTTTTAAAAAGATTAGACATATATGGAAATGACTATTATTTAGGTCATATTGTATCTAAAATGGTAGGTCGGTTAAAACCAGAGTTTGTCACTGTAGTTGGTGACCTTTTTTCCTCTCAGTGGATCAATGACTCGGAATTTTATAGAAGAACAGTGAGATATGCAACTAATATATTTAACAGAGATATAAATTCAATAACCGAAATCAGGAAGAATAATTTGGATGAGAATGGAGACTATAAATGTAACTGGGAATCATGGGGACAAGAATATCATAGAAAATTGGAATCCAATTTAACAATCGATGATTATAGATATGAAAATGTATATACATGGGACAAGACCAAAGACAACTATTTATTTATCAATCTGACTGGGAATCATGATATTGGTTATTCCGGAGATACAACATATCAGCACCTTGCTCGATTCGCTACATTTTTTGGCAAAGATAACTATTGGATTGAATATGAGACGGAAACAGACCATCCATGGAGGATAGTGGTACTAAATTCGATGTTACTGGAGGGACCAGCATTACAACCTGACTTTGTCAAGAGTAGTTGGAAATTTCTAAACCTATTATCTTCAAGCAACTTCAACGGTAGCACTGTATTACTGACACATATTCCTATGTATAAGGAACAAGGAATATGCCACGATGGGCCTGAATTCAAATACTACCCCAAGAAATACAAAAGAGAGCCATACAAAGCCAAGTTATTACGTTCTCAAAATCATTTGAGCTATAATGTCACACAGAGTGTTCTTAATTCGATATTTAATAATGATAAACCGGGCATTATACTAACAGGACACGATCACGAGGGATGCAAAACCACTTATAACAAAGTAGTCACACCAGATGGAATTTATTGGGAACCTGTAAATAGTAGCGATGTCCTTGATCATCACATTCAAGAAATCACAGTTCGTTCAATGATGGGTTATTTTGGTGGGAATACAGGAATCCTAACTGGATTATTTAATGACATGACAAGTCAATGGGAATGGCACTTTTCACTGTGTCCATTCGCCTCTGAGCACATCTGGTGGGTTGCAAACGTATCAATCGCACTATCCATCATACTTTGGACATCGATGCTAATCTGAAAAGTTTCCTTGTGCTTCTCTAGCTCCCTTTCCATAGTAACTAACTCTCCCTGACATCAATTCCCCATAACTTAGCCACACCTCCACCACTCCAAAATTCATCATAAATTCACCAAATTTTCTGCATCAAGAACCACTCTAGAAATATCAGCTGCATTTAACAATAATTCCAAAACCAATCCCTCTATAATATAACAATTGAACTCAAAACTAGCCTCCAAATCAGATCTCATTTGCTGTTCTTCTAAATACCTGGTGATAAATTTTTTTTTTGATCTAAATTTTTCATTAACTACTACGTAATTTCTTTTTACATACCAAACTTAAAGAAAAAAAAAAGTATCAATATAAAGCTATAATAACCCATTGTGGATCAAGATAGTTTATATAACATTTGATCTATATTTCATATATGAGTCTATGGTAAGCAGGAACGGTTGTGGGTCTAGTGCTTTTTGATTTTTAAAGTGTTTAAAGGTCTAAAGTGATTTTTTATGGAGGGTTCAGGAACTCATAATTTACTCCCTAAGTGGGGGAGACTACGTAAGAAACCCCAGCCACTCTCTGATTTAACTCAGCTATATAGTAAAACTGCTAATGAATCGATATACTATTTGAAGTTGGAGGAGAGAAGAGAGTTCAAGAGAGCTTTGCAAGGTTGGAAAGCTTTGAACACGGAAGTTCTATATGAATTGACTCTTTTAGAACATAATTATCCAAATACTCAATCTTATACAAAGGATGAATTAAGCTTACGTAGTGGTGTTCAAGAGTTATACCATAAGGCTTCTGCTCATTTAGAAAGGGTCCAAAGGTTATACAATGAGGAAGAACGGAGAAGATTGAGTTCTTCTAGTTATAATGGTGATTATATGGATCATGATCGATATGACAGTATAACTTCTTCAGCGACCTATCCATCAAAACCTCTCATTACACATCCTCATCAGTACTCTGGTGCTAAATATTCTCCTACTCACATGGTAAGAACATTACGGGATCCAAAAACATTACCGATAAAACATCCTTCACCTTCCAACTATGTTCCAAGTCATAAAAGTAGTAGCTCCGTAACTAAAGTCAACTTCTCTCATTCAAAGCCATTAGGTAAACAAAATAATCTGTTACCAACTAATAGCAATGAAAGTTTAAGAGCCAATAACAGTTACGAAAGGAAATCTGCTCCAAGATTAGGTAAACAGGAAAATAATGATATTATATTGATTGATTTAACTTCTGACACAGACCCTGATACATCTAATGAGAAGATAAATATAAAAAACGAAGAAATAAAAGACTTTCTGGAATTCGATGATGTCTACGATAGTTATTTGGATGTCAATGAGAGAGATTTAGAGAGATTGAAAGCCTTTGAAAACCTTGATGGTGCAGAAAGAACTCTTTCAAATTTATCCATAGAATCAACTCCATTAGTACCAGAGATAAAACGTTCGTTACATAACGATATGAGCGTACCAACCACTATAAAGAGCGCCCCTGTTTTAAACAGTAATGGACATTCAAGACCAAATACTGCAAGATCGTCTCCAAAACCAAGTAAGATGGCCTTGTCTAATACTGCTGCCACTAAATCAAACCCGGTTCTTTCTTCTAAGGCTCCACCACTTCCTTCGAGAAATAGGACACCTATTTCGAATCATTCTTCTTCTAATGAATCCCTGCCGACAAAGAAAGTTATCAAATCAAAACCAGTAGTTAAATCTTCGAGGCCAACAGTCTCTCAACAAAAATCCCAAAATAATATATCTAATATTTCAGCTAAAAAGGCGATCCAGTCCGCAGCAAATGCCACTTCTAGGAAAAGTCCTATTCCTGCAGGAACTTCAAAACAAACTTCAAAGCAAAATGCTGCCAAAAGAACCCCACAAGGTTCATCTAGGGGAAAAACCTCATCTAGCTCATCATCTTCTGTAAATTCTACTAGTAAAACAGGAAAGAACAATCAACCAGTGTTAAATACAAAAGTTATAAGAAAACCAGATCAAAAACCTAGCTCTTCCAATAATTCTAAAACAACTTCGTCAAAATCTACAGATAATGACCATATTCCTACCCCATCATATCCAGCACCTAAATTACCAAAATCCTCAGAGAGTATCAATAAGGAAACATTATCAGAACCTGAGAAAGAAAAATCGACTGAAAAGACAAAGGAAATGCTAGAAGATGAAATAATCGACAGTCTAGTAGGTGTGGATAAAGCTGCAGCCAAACAGATCTTTTCTGAAATAGTAGTCCATGGTGATGAAGTTCGTTGGGATGATATTGCAGGTTTAGAAAGTGCTAAAGCATCTCTAAAGGAGGCTGTTGTGTATCCTTTCTTAAGACCAGATTTATTTCGTGGTTTAAGGGAACCCGTGAGAGGTATGCTTTTATTTGGTCCACCTGGTACAGGTAAAACAATGTTAGCGAGGGCGGTTGCTACTGAATCACATTCGACTTTTTTTTCTATAAGTGCATCTAGTTTAACTTCAAAATTTCTGGGTGAAAGTGAAAAATTAGTTAGAGCCCTTTTCGCTGTGGCCAAAAAGTTATCACCTTCAATTATTTTTGTTGATGAGATCGATTCTATTATGGGAAGTAGAGATAACGAAGGTGAAAATGAATCAAGTCGTAGAATAAAAAATGAATTCTTAATCCAATGGTCATCATTATCTAACGCTGCTGCAGGCAATGAAAAGGATACTGATGATGAACGTGTGTTGTTGCTGGCAGCTACCAATATCCCATGGAGTATAGATGAAGCGGCAAGAAGAAGATTCGTAAGACGTCAATATATTCCATTACCTGAAAGAGAAACAAGACAGGTGCATTTAAGAAGGTTACTATCTCATCAAAAACATACCTTGAGTGATGAGGACTTTGAACAATTATTAAACTTAACAGACGGCTATTCTGGTAGTGATATTACCTCGTTGGCTAAAGATGCTGCGATGGGTCCGTTACGTGAGTTGGGTGAGAAATTACTAGACACTCCAAGAGACCAGATTAGGTCAATAAATCTCAATGATTTTAGGAACAGTTTGAATTATATAAAACCTTCTGTATCTCAAGATGGTTTGAAAAAACATGAAGAATGGGCAGCTCAATATGGCTTCTTCTTGGGTATAACGGTATAAAGAAATACATTCGAAGTGTAACTGTGCATAACTAATTATTTAATTAATTATATTAAGATTATATAGCATCCTATTAATTCAAAGTTATTATATCTATTGTGAATTGTATTTTTTTAACAGAAGTCATGACGTTATTTGTGATGATTATCATTAGAATATCCTTATAAAACTATACAGTACTACAACTATAATAACTTGTTTTGATAAACTGAAGTAAAACTACCAATCCTGTGCCACATAAAGAGTAAAAACTCTTGGCAATCAAGAAAGAATTTAAGCTGTTAGGCCAATCTTACCACGATTTAACTGCTGTAGCAATTGTTTACCATGACTCAACATCTCATTTTCACTATTTTGTTTCTGAGATTGCTGTATATCATCTGTACTAGAAACATGCGATGGTGGATACATTAAAGAGTTGAAATCTAATTTAAAGTTAAACTTTTCTATCACAGTCCAATCATCAGCTTTAAATATTTTATAGTTACCAACTTCAAATGATTCATTAGAAAATTTTGGTTCACCTTGTTTCAAAAACCACATAGTACCATTTTTTAAAAGTTTCCAATCCCTCTCAATTAATAATATTGATGATATTTGTTTTTGCAAAGGCGTCAAGGGAAAGTAATAATGGTAAAATAATGTAAATATTTCTGTTGGTCTGAATCTCTCCAAAACTAATCTTAGTTTGTCTTCATTAGTGTTATCTTCCAAAAGAACCTCTCTTAACGAACTGGAAATTGAGTCCCATTGATGACATGACCTAAACGCATCTACAGATGTTGGTGGATTTGCTCCTACAGGTAAAATGTCAATAGAAGGACTATAACAGGTATCGCAAGATCTCCTGTAACCGCCAAGTTTTCCATCCAATTGGTATAACTTTGTATCATGTAATACTTTCCCCATTAGATATTGCTGGATACCACATGGCAGACCTATTATTTCTATCTTGTCATTAAAACAGTTTCTCAGGGACTCTATTCTTTGAGAACGTTTTTCAATTTCTTCGCTAGTAATATTTTCAATTGGCATAGTCGTCTCCAAATCATCATCAGTAATATCTGATTCATAGTCATCTACAGGAAGATTTCTAGAAATAGATTCCACAGATTCATCATTCAGACTAGAATTATTTACTTCTAGTGGAGCAGTTACATTTGCTAGTTGATGTACTGGAGTGTTTAATTTACCGACTGGTTTATTTAATAAGCTGTTAACAGTGGTAGGTGTCGTAGCTGGAGATGTTAGAGAACCAGCCCTTTCTAATTGCTGAGATAGTGTAGGATTAGATAATACTGGTGTTGAAGTCCTTGGTGTACTATTAGCGCTTGGAAGGGTACTGGTTACATTTGCATTTACAGTAGGGTCTATCTTCACTGCGGAAGAAGGAGAATTCCTTTTCTCCTTATCCATACCTTGTGATGCAGCAGTAGCCCATTTCAAATCGCCAACAGGTCTAGCAGGTATTGTAGCTGG